GTAAATAAAAACACGGCAACTGTCCTATCCGTTAAGCGTGGAATGGCCCTAATAAAATTTAACATAATTAATAATTAATTATTGTTTTTTTAAAGCTCCAAATTTTGTTCTTTTTAATATTTTTTATTTATAAAACGGTTTGATTCCGATGTACTTCGAACCTGAATAATTTGTAAATTTTTGGGCACAAATGAATGAAAACTTCTAGTATTTTTTATGACAAGGATTAATTTTTGTTGTTCTATTATTTTAGGTTTTATATAAAAAAAAATGTATTCCTTTTATATTTTCATTGCAAAACATATCTAAAGGTAATAAAATTTGATCCTTATATGCAGGGCCGAGCCGTGCCGGGGGTGCAAGGGGTGCATGGCACCCGGGCGGCACTAACACAGGGCGGCAAAATATCATCAAAAAAATTGTATCATATTATCAAGAATAAAAAAGCCACCTTGCAATTTGCAAAAACTTTCTAAAAATCACTTGCGGTTTATTGATGTCGGCGTTTCAAGGAATCATCGTTTTTATTCTACACATAAAAACAATACCAAAATTGTGCTGTCAGGCGGCAATAATAAAAAAGACATAACCGAACGCGTGATAGCCACAAAAAATAATGATGACAATTTTCTTAAAGCCCGTTTTATAGATTGCCGCCCGCCCGCTTCGCTTTCCGTCCGTCCGCTTCGAGTTCGTCAAGTTTCATGTTTTACGGAAGCGGGCGTACGGGAAACCAATCAAATCGCGCGCTGTGTACCACGTGATATTGTTTACAAGCTGAACTGTTAAGTTAAAGCATAATTTCTTCCGATTTGACGGCTGCGTATTTCAGCAATTTTTAGTTTTTCTATTAACGTGAGGCAAATAGGATGCAAACATAGTAGTTTCTTTTGTCTTTTAATGCGTTTAAGTTAAAAACTAGTTAATGATTTAAAAGGCATCTTTCAGAATTTATTTGTAGCTTTAAGAATATTTTTGACGATGCCAGTTACTGTTGCCCATGAAGAGCGGTCATTTTCGAAATTAAAACTAATTAAGATCCAATATGAGTCAATTCAGGCTTTCAAATTAAGCAATTATAAGTACTTATTGAAGAAGATATTTCTAACAACTTGGATGTAGGCGACTTGATTAGGGAATTTGCTATTAAAAAAGCGAGAAAAGTAGATTTTTTACATTAATGGGGGCGGCAAATTTAATTCTTGCACCCGGGCGGAAGATACCCTAGGCTCGGCCCTGCTTATATGGTCTTTGCAGGCTTGCTTTTAAATCTCTTAACGGTTCCCCCTATTAACACAAGGTACTTTTCCGTGCGATGTGGCAAAAAAAATGCCACTCTGCCTCCAAACCAGTCATTTTTGTGATATGCCAAATTAATAAAATTATATTTATTTTTATATTGTCCCCACATCCATAAGTAAAATATATTATTTTTTTATTTGCGAAAAAATTAAGTTCTTTAAGAAAAATGTAAACAACTTGTTTGACAATATTCATTATTTTCATCTTTATAACACATAACAAAGGGATGTACAGTGGCCAGACTATTTACCCAGTGAAAATTTTTTATTTCGTATTGTACAACGGAGGAGAAATTTTCAGCATGGGAAGCAACTAATTTGTTAAGATGCATATTTTGCATGATCTTTTGAAATATACTAATGCTTTTTTAAAGAATCTATTGCTGATAATATTTTGTCAATGAAATCAGAAACTGGTAAATTAAAGGTAAGTAAATTACTAAATATTTATACACATATTTTTTTAAATGATAGGGACACCCTGTTTGAAAAATATCATTTACTCTTAGTTTTAAAAGAGTTTGAACTAGGTTCTTCGATATTTTGTAATAAAATATCAGATTTCATCAGTTTTCGACACTTCTCATTCAGGAATTGTCCAACGGAGCACATTTTAAAATAAGTAAACATGTAAAAATGTCAACATGTCAACATGTAAATATTTTTAAAATGTAAAAAATATAGTTTGACTTTTCTATCAAAGCCTTCTTCAAATCATATATAAATTTAGTGCCATTTTCTATAAAATTTGTCGCATTTTAAACCGTTGGGGCATTCCACGTTACTCGGTAATTTTTGTCCCACCCGTCACAATTAAAAATTGTGAGTAAAAACTACAAGTTATTAAATTAATATTTTATAATATTATTTATATTGTGCTTAGGTACCCACATAACATGCTATGGATATGGATATTTTATGGATATACTTGATATATTCTTTTATGTATATCCATTTGTGAATATTTTATGGATATACTGAATATATTTTTTCATGTATATCCATAAAATTGATATACTTGATACATTCTTTCATGTATATCCATAAAATGTCCATAAATGGATGTACCTGATACATTCTTTCATGTATATCCATTTATGGATATTTTATGAACATACTTTGTATAAATTTTATATAATAAAAAATTATATCCATAGTATATAATTATAGTATATTATACTATAATAGTATACTATAGTTTTAATTTTTTTACTGAAATTTTTAAATTTTATATTATAAGCTTAGAATATACACTGGAATCAGTGTTGCCATCCTTTGAAAAATCGTTTTTTCTCCACTTGTTTGAAAAATTCCCTCTTGTATAGAAAAAATAAAATTGATTAAAAAAAATAAATAACTTTTAAACAAAAAACTAAGTACAAGACAAACCTATAAAAAATGAAACTATGTGGAAACATAAACACTGTAATATAAATTTTAATTTTTATTATTGCTGTTTAATTTTTGTGTAAAATTTATTTAAATTTTTGGGTATTTGAATCCCGTTTTGAGCTACTTTTTCCAACGATTTTGTGTTGAAAATTCCCGCTAAACCGGAAATTTTCCTCCAGTCGGAACACCGTCTGGAAGATGAACGGCATTACGCGTCTGCACTATTTACTCACAGTATTTATAAGAGAACAAACTTAAACTTAACCTAACAAATATGACTGTCACAGGTAGTTTAAATTTTAAAAACAATGCACAAACACCATGTGACATGCGCATTGACTTGACGTTTAATTATCGAAAATGCAGAAAATCTTGTTTAAGTTTTGAGTATGTTTTTGATTTATGACTGGGATGTTTGGTAGTGGTAAGGCGCCTCCTTGCTAAATTTAAAAATCCGCTATGGGTAAGAATTTATTTTTATTTCCTTTTCAATGAGAAGTGCATTTATATATTTTTTATTTTTAGGAAAATCAAGAGGCATCATCTCTATGTTGTTTATTTAAAAAAAAATACTTTTTTGTTTGTTTATTTTTAAAAAATTGTTTTTTTTGTTTTTCAAGATTTTTATTAAGTACATACCCTAAAAATATGTTATGGATATCCATTTTCGGGTTTTTTAATATACACAATATATACCATGGATATATTATGGACATTCAGGAATATACATCATGGATATACTATGGATGTCCATATTACGAGTTTTTTAATGTACTTGATATATGTCATAGATATATTATGGACATCCAGGAATATACATAAGATATACGTCATGGATATACTATGGATATCCAAATAGAGGACAAAATCATATTTTATGGATATCCATGGTATATCCATACGATATTCGCGAATATACGAATATGCATAGATGAATATCCTATGTATATCCTATGTATATTTTCTTGTTATGTGGGTATAACTTATTAAAAGCAAAATAAACATTATTTTAAAATAAATTTTATAACCTCGGCCATTTCAAGCGGATGGACGGGACAAATCACAAAACTGTTTTTATAAAAAAGATTGTAGGTAATTTATTATATATTATTTTTGCATCAAAATTTTCAAATATATTCTTCTATTATTGGGCTATACATTAAATAAAAAAAATCGCAAGAAATATTTTATAAAAGTAGAGATAATTTCAATAATTGACAGGGGTGGACGGGACAAGATAAATCTTTTTTTTGTCCCGTCCACACCTTTCAATTATTAAAATTAAATCTACTTTCATAAAATATTTCTTGTGTTTTTTTATATTTAATGTATAACCTAATAAAAGAAGAATATTTTTGACAATTTTGATGCCAAAATATTATATAATAACTAATCTACAATTTTTTTTATAAAAACAGTTTTGTAATTCGTGCGTTTCGCGCGCTTGAAATGGCCGACCTGTAGTTTTTACTCACAATTTTTAATTGTGACGGGCGGGACAAAAATCCCCGAGTAACGTGGAATGACCCCCTTGTATCTTCATAGGAAGGCAAATTCACAAATTTTTTTTACAATTTTTAGTCTACATTGAGGAGAACATTTTGTTTAATTTTGAACAATATTCGTTCAGTCCCTCTGGACGAAAAAATGGATTTTTTTCGCCAAAAATGTAAAATTTTTATAATAAAAATGATATTTTTTGAAATTTGGGTACTTTTTTATAATTTTGCATTTTATATTTTAATCGATATTTATAAGTACTTTAATTAAAATTATACACCAAATCAAATTTCCATAGCCTACTAAATAATATCAATGGTAGAAAAATCACTTTTCAGTTAAAATAAGCGTGAATTTAGCACAAAAAAAACTGCACTTGTAAAAATATTTGTATAATTTTAGGTATATATATTAAATGTACATTGTTTTATGGTTAAAACAAAATATTAAGCGATTATAAATATTAATAAATAAAAAGTTACAAAAGGATTTCTTGTAAACCGATTTGGTAATATTTTATGCAAACTGGTCAACATGGCCTCGCCTAATTTCTCAGGGTGTTTAAATAAAAAAATATTGTGATTTTAGTTTATCCCAAGCATTGATCTTCAAATCCTAAAACTTTCAGTTTAATCTGAGATGTCGAGATTTTGTCATTAGGTGAATGACTCAATATAGAACTTGTATTAAATTAAAAATTAATTAAATTAAAAATCACTGAACAACACTTCATAAATAATTATTGAAAATGTATACTGTAAGTAAACACTTGTCTATTCAGTAAAATAAACATAAAAATATACCAACCTCATATACAGCTTTAATGTTCCTAATAATACAATGAAAAATCTTAATTCTAGCTGCTGTTATATTTAATCCCTGTAAATTTACAGTTGTAGGAACTGGTTGAGAAGGTTCTGGATCAATTTGAAGTAAAACTTCATTAATTGGGCTTCCATCAAAGAAAGTTTCATACACTAAAAGAGCCTCTGGTTTCTTTACACAAGTAGACAGCTGAAATTTGAAACTAGTGCATTGAACTTTAGTATTTACTATTATTAAATTTACCCATTTAACCAAAGGTCCAGTTAGAAACTCTTCAATTTCTGTAGCTGAAGCTGCCATTTTATTAATTTATGTTTATACAAGTTTATTCATCTTATAAATAAAAGGCTTTGTTAGTATTGTAAGGACTATTCAGCCTCTATAAGAACATATTGGTGTTGTGTATCCTTCTTTTATGGAATAATATATTCTTGAACAATGCCATTTTACTTCACCTAGTGCTTTATGTATTAATTATTTAATATTCACACGCTGTTATAGGCTTTTCTTAAAACAAAGATGGTACAGTCCACTTCATTTTGAATTTTATCAAATTAATGATTTATCACACAAAAACTTATCTCAGTATAACTTGGATAACATACTTTTTGAATTTATTTGATAAAAACCGAACTTTACTGGTTAAAAACCGTAATATTTAGTAAATTTTATGATAGACAAACTTTTGACACTGATTGTTTAACCTCTCTTTTACGAGCGCCATCTGTAAACAAAAATATTGTTGCATTAAGGATTTCGTACCACAATGGGTTTTTACATTTTGATTAAAATTGTATCTACTATAGATCTATAGATTTATATATTATTATTTATATAGGTATATAACAATTGTATAAACATTTTAAAATATTTTTGCTACATCGATAAGGTAGATTTCGTAGATGTCAAATCACAGTTGCCGTATGTCAAATTTGACAACATCCAAATTATGCTGATTTAACAAGCTAAAACTCTTTTAACGACACAAATTAACGATATGGGTTGTGATGGTGGTACTATTCCTCGTAGAGACGAGCTTGTTAAAGTGAAGAAGAAGCCAGAAACTAAGGACAAGGACGCAGAGTTAGCATTTTTGTGGCAATGTTGTACGATTACTCAAGAAATTCTTCAAAAACCCATTGTTTTATGTCATATGGGTAAACTCTACAGTAAAATGGCTCTTATTGAAGCACTACTGGATAGAAGCACACTTCCTGAAGGTTCAAAATACATCAGAAATTTAAAAGATGTAAAGGACCTTAACCTAACTCCCAATCCTGAATTTAATGCTGATGAACGCAAAAAAGAAGGGGCTATTGATCACAGGGCCGTTCCTTACATTTGCCCTGTATTAGGTTTGGAAATGAATGGAAAACATAGGTTTGTTGCCTTATGGTCTTGTGGATGTACGTTTTCTGAAAGAGCCTATAAAGAAATTGGCACTAAAAACTGCCATAAATGCACAAAACCTTTTGAAGATGATGATGTGGTGATTATAAATGGCAATGAAGATGACTTGGAACTTATGCTGGGAAGAATGGAAATCAGACAGCAAAAGAATAAGAAAAACAAAGAAAGGAAGACAAAAGTCAAGAAGGAAAATAGTGAGAGTGGTGAAATAAGTACAAACAATATTATTACAGAACCTTCAAGTTCAAAACAAAAAAGACCAACCTTGGTGAAAGAGGAAGTACCCAAAAAGAAAATAAGGACAATTGGTAATGTTGTAGCGACAGGAAAGGTAATGAATGAAGAGGAATTAAAGAAAATGAAACCAGAATACAGCATTGCAAAGGATGATAAAAACACAGATGTTTATAAGTCATTGTTTACAACTCATAAATCAGAAAAAGAACAAGATAGAGCTCACTGGGTTACCTATAATCCATTTTATAATTAGGTATTTTTTAATTTAATTAATATAAGGTTTATAAATAATTTGGATTTTTAAATAAACACATATAACTTTTAAACATACATTTAATAACATCCACTCCATTTCCAAATATAACAATTTTATTATCAATAAAATCAAAACCCTGTACATCAGAAATTGCAGTTTTATATAAGGTACAAAAATTACATTCTAATTTTTTACTTGTCCATTCAAAAACACACAAACGTTGGTCAATAGATACAGTAAAAAAGTAATTATCCAATATTTTTGTACCAGTTATTTGTGAACAATGTACCCCTGAGTTGGTGTAATTACAAAGAACATCAATTTTTAGCCCATTTATGTTTGTTATTTTTAATTTATTTAAAGCTATTAAATTATCATCGCCACCAGTCAAAAATATTACATATGATTCATTATTGGATTTGTAGATTTTATGATCTACACTGTTTATTCCAGATTGATGACATTTTATAGATTGGACTGGATATTTCTCTTGTACATTTTCTTCAAGTAACTTTTTTATGTCCCAAAAAATAAGAAATCCATCTGTAGCTAATGTGACCAAAATAGAGTGTTTATCAAAATTAAACCCTATGATTTTTGTAATACACTTTAATTTATAAAAAACATTTTCCTTTAAAATAATTTTATTACTATCGTCCAAGTAAAATATCTTAATAAAACCATTTGAACAGGCAGCAAAAATATATAGTTTTTCATTGTGTATATGCAAATACAAATCCATTATTCTCATTTCAGCATCATCAGTATTCATAGATTCATAATATGAGCAAAACTCATTACATGATATACAATCATTGTTTTCATTTTTTATTGCCCAAAGTATAATTTGTGCCCTTCCACCAGCAGAAAATATAAGTTTTTGGTTCTTCCAAAGAACATGTTTAATTGTTCTAACATTAGAAAGATGGGATTTTAAATTGTGTAGCTTTTTTATCAGAGTACAATTATTATTTAACTCATTTATTTGTATTGTAGTATCCTCACCACCAGACACCAAATATTTTTTATTCATATAATTAAAGGCAACTAAAGAATTTATTTGGTTCACATGCAAACCCTCTATAAGCTCTTTTGGACATACTGAATTCCAGTCAATTTTAACACAGTGTATAATTTTGTCTTTAACATAAGCAACATTACAATTATTTGACGTTTTTATAAAGTCCCATGAACGATGTCCACCCCCACATTCTTTTTCAAATAAAATTGATCTTAATTTGTAATCCCAAATAACAAAGTTATTTCCGGAAAATCCTATTATTAAATTGTTCAGAATTTTAGCCAGCCATAGAAATGGCAGCTTATTAGAGGCTGCAACTTTTACTACATTATTCTGAATATTAAATGTTCTAAGGATACCATTTCTACCCAAAGAATTTAATTGATTTTTATCCAATGATAAGTGTGTGACCCCCAAATGGTTATGTACTCTTTTAATTATTTGTATTGGTTCTTTGTTAGAAATGCTATATACATATAAATGCCCTTTTCTGTCACCAACAATAAATAATTCTTTATTAAAAAAAGTGGCAGATGTGGTCCACCTTTCTTTTGATTGTGGTAAATTATATGTTGAAATCAGATTAATATTATTTTTGTGAAGGAACAGTAATAATAAAATACCATTATCCTGGCAAATTAAGAAGGTATTACAAGTTAACCAGTGAAAAGAATAAATTCTGGATTCCCTCAATGTTATATATTTACAAATTAACTTAAGGTTGTTTGAATCTTCTTTGTAGAGAAATATTTGTCCTTTGTATCCTAAAAATGTTTTTTTTAAATATTTTAAACAGTATTTTATAAACTAAGAAACAAAAATAATGCACCAACCTCCAACTTTACCATTTTTTATTTTATAACCTTACCTAATGGTTAAAGCCATCAAATAAAATAAAAAAAACATAAATAAAATGTGGAAAATATTATTTTTAAAATTGATAGTAGGTATACCTATAGGTACTTATGTCAAGTGGAAATTAAAATTATTTATTTCTTGGCATGGTGTTAATTTTTGCTTAGTTTTTTTGTATTGCAATTTTACCTGCTAAAGCAAATAATTTTTTACATTTAGATGATTGCATTAAACAATAATACTTTAGTTCTTCATGCTTCTCTACCAAAAACCAACTCTTACTTTTATCCAAATAATAATACAAGTTTCCATTTTCAGTAATGCTTGCTATATTATTATTACTCATAAAACAAATTGAATTAGGAGGTTCCAATTTAGGCAGGCTTAATTTTAAATTTTCTATATCTGAATTAATTGGAAATAATGATAACCCTGAGTTACTCCCTCCAATAACAATTTGTTTGGTACCTTCATCAACATCAATAGCCCAAATAGAGCTTCCTTGGTGTGCTTCTATTTTCCTAATTAAATCACCACTATGTGACCAAATAAATACCAAAGAATCCTCACCACCTGTTATGAAAAAATCATGGAATACTTTGCATCTAAATATTCTGGAACTATGCCCATGTACCTGTGTCAGTATTGATATATCTATATTGGATTTCTTTAGTTCTTGAGTAATATCACTTTTTAACTTCCATAATATGGCTGAACGATCATCAGAACAACTGCATATTACACCAGTTTCTGCATGATAGTCTATTGAAAATATTACCCCCTTAAAAAACAAAAATAAGTACTATTTAATAATTTATTTTAATTAAAATTTTACTTTATGTCCAGTAAGTTTTTTTAAAACAGGGCTTATTCCATTATTGTCATATTTAGTTGGCCACCAAATTAAAACTTCACTGAATACTGTACCAGACATTACAACTATTTCATTTTTATTTATGCTGATAAAAGCACTATATAAAATGCATCTTTCCTCGCATAAAACTTCTTTTTCAACATCTAAATTACTAGACAAAATTAACAATTTATTGTTCATTGTTGCAAGGCAAAGTTTATTATCTAATAATTTTGCATCTAATATCCATTCTTTTACACTTGACATTAAATGCTCTTTGGAATTATTAACATTTGGAAAATCAATTACTTTTATATACATTCCCCCATAAACTAAGAGTTTGTTTTTTGATTTGTTTGTTTCAACCCCATATATTTTCTGCCCAGAAAATATTTTAACTTTAGTAATAAACATTTCATTACTTAAAGAGAATATTTGTAAATCGCCTCCAATTCCTAAAATTAATTAATTTATTAATAAAAAATAATAACAGTAGTGTTTATCTTACCAGTTAAAATATAGTCATTTACTATCTTAAGGTAAGTCACATCTGTTCTAATAAGCTTATTTTTGAATACACTCATTGTCGTTGAGTTATTAAAATTTATCAAAACATAAAGCCAATAGCACTATATAAACAATGTTGTGTGGAGTGTGGGTCACAATTTGTGACTATTTATTAAAATATATATAGTGTTCTTGCATGGACCACTGATCAACACAAAACATAGACTATATGGCATAGAAAAAGGATATATGGTTTGTTCTGTGAATCACAGAATCTAGATATATCACAGACTGTGATATATCTAGAGGTTAAAACTATAGTTTAATTTTGAGGTTATGTTTGGTTTGCGGCATACGCTGTGACTAGAGGCACGCTAACGTGCCGCGATTCGAAATGTTAAAGGCACGTTAATTACGTCATAAACCCAAACCATCCCAAACTCAACAACACAACACAACACAACCGACCCCGCCCCATAAAAAAATAAAAAAAGTTCGACATTTTCTTAGTATCGAACCCGGGACCTCTCGCATACCAAGCGACCGCCTTCCCAAATGAGGAGCATGCGCGCAAAACCAGCTAAATCCATTTTAATAAACTGTTGTGAAAATGGCAAAAACCTCCGTTTCCTGGCCTTTACAGATAAAAAAATGCATCTTGAGTTTTGTGGGCACAAAACTCAAGGACCTTGAGTCAAGGTGCATTTGTTTGGGCACAAAACTTGAGATACATTTTTTATCTGTAAATTTATCTGGAAATGGGAGTTTTTGCCATTTTTTTAAAACATTTTATTAAAATGAATTTAGCTGGTTTTGCGCGCATGCTCCTCAAATGAGCTATTTAGCTTGTTGCCAAATATTAAACGCTCGGGGAACAAAAACAGATTATAATTATGACGTAACTAACGTGCCTTTAACACTTATGTTCTGTGCTTTAACATTTTCAATCGCGGTACGTTAGCGTGCCTCTAGTCACAGTGTATGCATAGATCATACAAGGGGATCTATGAGTGTATGGCATAAACACCAAACACTGAACTGAGTGCATAGATGACCGAAGGTGTATGCCATAATGGCATAAACACTGAACTATAGTTCAGTGGGCATAAACCAAACATAACCTCAAAATTAAATTAACACAACACGTGAATCATAGATGAAAGACTTGAATGTCACGCCCACCCAACTTATCCCTTATCTATGATGTCACGTTTTGAAATAAAGTCCCTTTAAATTTGTATTCTTTAATGACATTTTTTTTACAAAAATATACCAAAAATCCTAAAAATATAAATAATAATAAAATATCAATTCAACTATTGCTTTTTTAGTTTCTTATTTGGAGGTTGCTCTGAAGATTCTTTGGACTCTTTATAATTAACTCCATGCTTAATAAATCTTTCAGCTGCATCTACATCTATTCTTGGTTTCATACTATTTTCATGAGCCTAAAACAATACAATTTTAAACAACAGCATTTTTTAACATTTGATTTTTTACCTCTTTGGCTTTAACCATATATTCCTTTACCCTATTTAGTTGATTTTTTATGTCGGTGGAATTTGGATCGTCTCCACTTGCTCTTAATAGCAACCAATATAATGTGTTTAAGGAATAAGTTATAAATAAATCATAGTCAACTTTTTCTTTTGTACTAAGTTTATCATAAACATCACTTTCAAAAGCCAGTTCCAACATGTCCTTAATTTTGTTTACACCATTGTCAAAATTAGTTAAAGTCTTTTTTATAGCTTCGTCGTCTTTTAAGTCTCCAAAATCCATTTTAATAACAATTATATAACCCCAAAATTTGACATTAAATTAAAGGTTAATCTTCTTCTGCCACACATAGCAGTGCTAGCAGTGCTAGCACCAACATAAAATAGTGAAAATAGGCAAAGGCAATTCACCATTGCTAACTTCACTTTTCAAATTCACATGCATTTGTCATCTTAAACGTGATTGTCAACAGGGTAATTTTGTTAATTTTTGTGTGAATTTTTACCCGATTAATCCTCAAACATGGCTCTACACGTACCAAAAGCTCCAGGCTTCGCGCAAATGCTAAAAGATGGTGCAAGGGTAACTTATTTTTTCTTAAAATTAACCTTTTTTTACCATGTGGTATGTGGGTGTTCACCGGTAATAATCTCTTTAGCACTACTCCGGTTTGGAAGAAGCTGTTATAAGAAACATAAATGCCTGCAAGGAATTCTCTCAATCTGTTAAATCAGCCTATGGACCAAATGGGATGAACAAAATGATTATAAATCACATTGAAAAACAATTTGTTACCAGTGATGCTGCCACAATAATAAGAGAATTGGACATTGAACACCCTGCAGCCAAACTTATGATTTTAGCCAGTCAAATGCAAGATTCTGAAGTTGGGGATGGAACAAACTTTGTTATTGTCTTAGCTGGTGCCCTTCTTGGTAAGATTTTTTTTTGGTTATGTTGAATATTCTAGAAATTGACTCATGAGTCATATCGTCACCTGAGAATTATAGTGTTCTATCTGCATTTTCTTTTTTTTATTCAGGTTAGTCTTGTTTTAAGTATTAAAGATGCATATTGTTCTATCTATATATAATTGGGGTAGAAATTGTACAGTTTAAACCTTAAACACTATAATTCTCAGGTGACGATATGACTATTAATTTTTCCTATTTTCATAGCCAATTTAATTTTTTATGCAAAAGTTTGTTTTATTGCTCTTGTTAAAGAAAAAAAATATTAAAAAATCTATGTGAAACAGTTATGAGATGGCTGAAACTTTTTTTTGGATGCATTTGAAGCTTTCACTAGCATTACTAAAATCAATGATTTAAATCATTTTAGTAAAATTTGGCCCAGGATCCCAATATTTAAGCCCTCTGCACAACAGCCAGGTAATGAGAATGGGAACCTGAATAGTAAAGGTGGGAAAGACTCAGCAAACACTATCTATCATTGACTGTCAACAATGGTTGCTTAGTCTCTCCCACCTTTACTGTTCAGATTTCCGTTCCCATTACTGGGCTATTGTGCAAAAAAATTGTTATTATAACCTTATTTTAATTTGTTTTTACATATTTTTGTTAAGATTTTAATATAAAGGCTTTGAGAAGAAGAGTTTGTTTCAAAGTCTATATATAAGGTGACCAACCATCCTGGTTTACCCAGGACAGGTTCTGGTTTTTGCTAATGTGTCCTGGTTTCAATTGAGGGGTTCGGTGCACAAACCATGTAGATTACGTTAGCATTAACTAAATATATCAGATACAGGAGATACCGCAGAAATTATACTGTGCAAAATAATTTTTAACAAGGTTTTTCTTTTCTTCTGAACATTTTCCGAATATGGAGATACCTGGTTCTTGCACCGAGCCCCTCAATTGTGTACTGGTTTTGTCCTGGTTTTGCAGATTTGGTCCTGGTTTTAGGATTGGAATAAGTCATGACTTTTATAAAAAAGTCAAAAAGTCCGACTTTATGAATTAAATCAGACTTTTTTGAATTAATTTACATATTTTTTTGCTTACTAAAACACAACACAAAAAAACAAAAAAGCTAATTTTTATTTTCTTCAAAAATCTTAACCATAAAAACGCCGATTTATTCATAAAAACAATTAATTAGCCTGTTTTATACAGGGTGTTATGCATATACTACATACTGTACCTTCATTTGCAAGCTAACCATAGGAAAAATACATTGCAACTGGACCAGATAAGTCGCAGTCAACACAAAGCGAGAACCTTTTCAGAAATGATTTGGATGCGTCGTCGAGACATGCGTACTAAAACAAATTTTACCAGATTTACACCGCACAAAATAAAAAACAATAATAAAGCATCGATGTATGAAGCAAGGTCAACTGTTACGGCGCATGCTAGCCTACTCGTCCACGCGTCCAAATCATTTCTACAACGTTTTTCGCTTCGTGCTGACTAAGACTTATCTGGTCCAGTTACAATGTATTTTCCCTATGGTTAGCTTGCAAATGAAGGTACGGTATATGTAATTAATGTAATATATTAAAATACTGAATATCTTTTGACATAAGGTGTAACCAAAAATATGAAAAAATATGCATTAGAAGTTTTTTATATTTTTTTTGATACGCCACTGGTTACACACTTGTGTTCTGTGAATACATAGATACCAACCAACAAAGTAGCTGCGCGTTGCCAATTTTAAAAAATCGTTACTAAAAATTTTTTTTGCAAAAAATAAATAACTCAATAAATACAAAAGTTTTATGCCCTTAAAGCTTTAATACCCTTCTGTATTTATTTACTCATCCAGCTATTAGCTTTTTATTTTTTCTTTTCTTTGGCTGGCGGAGAAATTCTTTACGAACACTCGGTTCCTCTTGGGGCTCCGGGTAGTGTGGGACTCCATCTAATGACTTATACCCACTAAAACTCCCCCGTTAGGTGGTTCAAAGCCCTGCACTGCGGTTTGCTTTCGCAATCCTATTGCGCCCTAAATGGTATTACTTCCATAGCTCTAGCTCCGTTGCTTCTATGAAGCGCAGTAGCGGAGGCAGTGGGAGCAATTTTAAAAGTTCTGGTGCGAGTTTGGACTCTTCCAGGTGTGTTCTTCTTAAGGTGTTGAATCCCTCACATTTACACATGATGTGAAGAGGTGTTTCATCTTCTTCTTCGAATCCTCTACACAATGGGTCATCTGTCATCCCCATTATGTGAAGGTGTTTTTTGAATGGAGCATTGCCTGTGAGAAGGCCTAATGCTTTCTTTAGTTGGGTCCTGGTATATGTCCTCATTGGTTTCTGCCCTTCAGCAGATGGATTGTCCAAAAGTGCTTTCGAATGCTCCAGACCAGACAGGCTTTCCCAGTATTGTTTGTGTTGTAGTTCTGTCCAGTCAATTAGTTTTTTCCTGGACGATTCTTGGCTGGTGCCGCATGTGGGTTTCGGCCCCATCAGCATGGTTTCGGCTTCATTAGCTGCGAAGTTGGGCTTCCACCTCATCGAACTGTCTCTGCCTTCTTCTTGCACTAGGATAAGAGTTATCTGGTTATGTGCTTCGGTTAATGCCGTCATAACTCAGACATTCTAGTACGGCCTTCGAATTGATTTCAAATGCCTCCAGTGCCCGGATTGCTGCTGGTTCGTCTGTAATGATGGTGAGCAACTTCTCCGTGGGTTGTATGGCAATGATTCCCGCTCTTTTATTCCCGCAGATACACCGGTCTTTGACCGTTTGTGTTCTACGTACCAGATCTGGTTGTTTATCTCCTCAGCCTTTATCCTTTTTGAGATAAAAGCTTTATTGAAGTGTTTGACCTTGGCTTTGTCTGTTCTAATGGCTAGACTGCCAGTATTTTCTAGCTCTTCAAATGTGGCATTATGTCTGATGTTGGAAATAACTTTAGCCTTATTTGAGATTAGTCTCTGGGCTCCTGCCAACGCTTCAGCTTTAATCTGAATGTGTAGAGGGGGGAGTCCTAGTATGTTCTCCATGGCTGCGGTCGGTGTAGTTGTTATTGCACCAGTTATTCCCAAGCACGCCAGTCTTTGGATTCTGCTGAGTATCTGTTTTACAGTCCTTGTTTTTGTTGCGTGCCACCATATTAGCGCCGCGTAGGTAATTATGGGTCTGACCATAGCTGTGTACACCCATTGTACCATGCCTGGTGACAGTCCCCAAGATTTTTCAAATGTTCTTTTACAGGTCATAAAGGTTTTTACGGCCCTATTTGTTATGTTTTCTATGCTTCTGATAGGTGAGTTTTTTATCCAGTATTACTCCTAGATATTTAACCTCGTCTTTCAAGGGCAGCGTTTTCCCGTAGAAGATTCGATTTCTCACGGGTTCTAACTTTCTTTTACGAGAAAAGGCAATAAGAGAAGTTTTTGTGGGATTTACCTGAAGTCCCTCATTGCAGCAGTTTTCGACAGCGTTTGGCGCTCTTTGCATTTTGGTAAACACATGGGTTGTGTTGCTGCCTCTGATAAGGAGTACAATGTCTTCCGCATATCCTATTGCGTATTTTAACATTTAACATTTATTAAAACATTTACATAACAATTTTACATAATTTTTAGTATAATTTTAAAGTTAACTAATAACAATGGATTAAGTAGCACCTAAGGTGTGCAACCAGAAATTAAATATATTTGCAAATACAAGGTCGATCGACATACGTCAATGTTACACATACGATATTATAAGTATAAATTATCTAAACATAAATTGTAACTTTTCTACATAACACTGATAAATGAATGATTTTACTGCCCTTCTGAAAATTCTTGCTTGGTAATGGTAAGATGTTGTAAAGTTTAGGTCCTATGTAAGTAATAAATTTTGCCAAATTAATAAATACTTTTTTACCCAGGTTTAGATCTTTAACAATCTCGGAAGTCAAAGCCATCATCGCGTCGGTTTTACTACAACCTTCAATGAAACCATATTTCTTTATTTTCCAATCGTGTCAGTAAACTGTCCGATACGAGATTCCATAGCAGGGGTAATATCATCCCCCCTTGTGTTGTGCCTCTGCACACTTTAGCTCTAAAAGTGGTATTGTTAAGAGTGGTTCTGGCTCTTCGTTGAGCCAGCATTTGCCAACCAGAGGTTGCGATCTCTTACTGATCGATTTATTGAGTCATATGACGTGTTGTCAAAGGCTCCTTCGATATCCAGGAATGCCCCAAGGGCCACCCTTGTGGAAATTTTTCTCTGAGAAAGTCTTACTTTCTCTGAAAAAGTCTGAATAATACTTATTAAGTCGGAAAAAGTCAGAATAAGACTTATTAAGTCGGAAAAAGTCTGAATAAGTCTTATTAAGTCAGACTAATAGCAAGATTTGGGAGTCTTCTGGAAGAGTTAATAAGACTTTTTCAGACTTAATAAGACTTTTAGTAGAGAAATGGTAGGTACCTATGGCGATAAAAATAAATATCCGAAATAATTCATAGAGGTTGTATTTGGTTATCGTAAAATAAAACACATAGACAAGTATTTATTAACATTTTTGCTGTTGTTATAAGCCAAGTTTATTGCATAATTACCTATATACTAACATAGGTAAGATGTAATAATTATAACAATTATAATTTTATACATACGATGCGCTTAACATGCTTTCATTGTTTCCAACATAGAAAAAGGAGTTAATATCAAGTCTATAGACATGATATTTTCAATAGACTCATAAGACAAATATGGTTGATCTTCGTGTTTCATTCATCTTTGTATCATGGTTGATCTTCCTGTTTACGTACAGTGTTGCCATAAAAGTTCCTGACCATAAATTACAAAATACTAAAATAATAATAAAATTGTAACAAGATAGAATAAAATAATTGTGCATATTTAGTAAATATACAATATTATTTACTGAAAATTTCTTTTGTTATTATTTTGATAGAAATTTGCAAATCACCCGCAAATATTATGAAAATACCCGATTTTCGAGTAAA